GTACACAGTCTTAATGTTTGATTTTGGGAAGGTACAACCTCTACCTCTATCCCTCAACATATGGGTGACCTATTTGCTTGTAAAAATATAAAGCCTTATCATTAATTAATAAAAAAGGGGGATATGTAAGGGGCCGTTTCCTGCATTATAATGGTGCCTGAAGACACCAAGATGTAAATTACTTCACAGGCGCTGGGTAATCTCCATTCCTTTGATCTCTGCCTATCCCGTGGCTCATTTTGGCCTGAGGAGCTGAAGCCATTCATAGGGTAACACGTCCCAGGCGGCTGGTCAGCCTTTATAAGGGATGGTTTTCTTGGTTTAGTGTCTCCGCTCTGGGAAGCTTATGCTCTTTCACTCTCAAGATGCATTAAAGCTTGTCTGCAGAAGGATCCGAGTGTCCCGTGTATGATTTCTTGCTGGCGAGAAATACAGAGCGCGCGGGACAATACACCAATATGCATTGTCAGAGTTCTTGAGACCAAAGACACTGGGGATGGAATGGCAAAAGCTGAGGTGCCCAGGCTAGATAAGAGCTTTGTTCGTAGGTCAGGACACTGTTAAGGCAGCCACTGTACCACCAGAATCCATGGCCAGGGGGCCAACCACCTATGTACTACCTAGCAGGAAGGAACACTGAGTGCTATACAGTATGAGAACATTGATAGCACCTACCAACAGTCTAGTGTGTGTGGGGGGGTTAGCATCCACAGGCTACCTAGCAGGAGGACACAGAATTCACACTAACTAGCAGGGAGGTCAGTATCTTTGAGCTTTCCAGCAGGGAGATGCAACCAGGGCCTATAGCTCTGGCTGCTGGTTGGGGTGGGCATAGGGGTGATGGTGGTGTATGGAGCCTGCAGGCCCTCACTACAAATGGGGTACCTGGTCAGGAAATGGTGAAATGATGTAATCTATTGGAAAATAATATGGAGGGAGAGGGGATCAAAGCTTGGGCTCACTCCACCTCTCTTCCATGGCCCGGTCATCAGTAGCTCCTCAGACACTATAAATAGTGGGTAGGGAGCACCAAAGTTTATGTCTAGAGGCTGCTGTTTCCCTCCCTCCTGTTTGCACACCTGCCCACGAGGCTAATCCCAGAGACACCCTAGTCTCACCTTTGGCTAGGACTATGAGAGCCCCAAGCATCCAGTGCTAGGTGAGACATACCAGGCTGCAATGGTATGCAGATTTATGTAGTTCTAGCTCTTCAGTAGTGAGGGATGTGAGGACCAGCACCCATATGGCCTCTGAGAACTTGGCGGCACCATTTTCAGGGGCCTCCCAGTCAGGCAATGTCTGCTGTAACCAACAATGCCCAGGTTGAAGCCCTCAGAAGGAGGGGCAGAAGCCTCAAGCTACACCTCCCCACTTCTTACTCCACCCACCCCAGTAGCCTGAGGCTCCAGGGTGGGTCTGACACCACAATAGGGCAAAAAGGCAAGAGCTTCCCCTGCTAAGCATGAAGCTGGAGACGGCCCTGGCCACAGCCCTAGTCCTGGCTATGACATCCTGGACACAGGAGTTTTTCCCTAAGGAGGCCCATACTCTCAACTGGGGCAAGGTAAGCCACATGCCCCTTGGGTACCTTCATTAGGTACTAGGGTTACAGGGTATGTAGACCAGTTAGGACTACAACTGCAGCGGTGGGACCATCTGGGATGATGTCCCCAGCAGGAGGGCAGGACACAGTATCTGTTGAGCCCAGTTGTGTTGGTTACCTGTTCTCTCCCACCACTGCCCCGGCCCTGGGACCCCTTGGAGATACCTCTCTGCATTGGGTCCAGTGCTGCAAGCAGGGTGGAGGGCCAAATACTAGACGATTCCAGGTGGGGTGGCTGTGGGCACAGTGGCTAGGTGGACAATGTGAGTGGCATGCACAAACACTGAGTTATTAGGAGACAGGAGTATGCTGCAGGGAAGAGCTGGTGGCTAGCGGCTCGGGCACAAACAGAAAGGGAGAGGGGCCGAGCATCCGTGTCACAGGGAGGAGAAGAGAAAAGGAGCCTCTGAGGTAGCTAGGGTGGACATGGCCTCCTGGGCCTCTGACCGGCTAAGCACCAGCTTCTCTTCAGCCTGGGACAGGGTAGTGCCCACCTGAGGATGCAGATGTGCTCTGGGTCACTTGCTGGGTCTGTCCTTTGGCTGGGAGCTTGGACAGGCAGCATGGTGTGGCAGCTGCAACATTGTTCTCTCCCGACGCCCCCTGCAGTTTTCAGGCTTCTGGTACATTATTGCCATTGCCACAGACACCCAAGGATTCTTGCCGGCTAGAGACAAGAGGAAGCTGGGGGCATCTGTGGTGAAGGTGCACAAAACAGGCCAGCTCAAGGTGGTCATCGCCTTCAGCCGGTGAGGGGATATGATGTGGCAGGGGTCCTGGTACACCTTTGCAGACTGGTCAGGGACAGCTTTATGTCTGGGAAGAAGGAGCCGACAGGAAGCAGAGCTGAGTCCCGAGAGGAAACAGACCTGACAGATGGTTTCACTACCTCTTTCCCCCCTAAAACCCAAGGTGTGATTTTGGGAGAAATATCTGGCATCAGGAAAGGGGTGTTGGGAGTGGACCTCTCAGCTCCGGGCAGGCCTTTGCCCAAATTAGAATATTCCCACCCAAACTGGCTACCTGGGCCCCAGAGTCCCCATCCCTAGGCTCTAGAGGAAGCAAGTGAGTGGAGCCGGAGAAGCTGATGGTGGAAGGTGGCCCTTTGGCTGCTGCTCACTGTACCTGTTCCCCAGGCCTCAGGGATGCCAGTCCATGGAGGTGACATTGA